GGGTGGCAGGGGCGCCCCCTTAACGTGGGCGCGCGCACGCACGCGCGCGCATGTTTTTATACCTTCTAGACATATATCAAGAAGTGCATTTGCTAAAATAGAATTTAAAACAATTTGCGCACCTGGTCAATAATTCCGTTTTCCGTTGTGCGATACATGAACACTGACGTATAAATGTAACGTTCACCTCTCTATAATCGTAATCATCATTCCACTGCTGGATGTTGGTTTTACCAAGCTGACCAGTGCGGGTTGGTGAAGGGTCTCTCCAGGGCCATTTCAGGCATCATCGGAGCGTATTTTCGAATGGGACAGTCTAGAACACTGTTCCGGGAATAATGTTGGCACGCCACATTCATCTGTGTTGATTTAGTCATCACATTTTGTTTATAAACCAGTTCGCGTGATTATAGGAATATAGAGTACACCAATATCGGATTATATTATGAAATTAATTAACGCCTGGATTTCATCAGTGCGCGCCATGGCCAGGAATTTAACTCAGGAAGCTATTGCATTATAGTGCATTAACTACCAACGCTCCACTCCTACATGTACACGACACGATTCAATCACCAGCCATTCAGTGAGACTTGAATATGTGTATGGCCTTACTAAGATGAGTTCATTTTAATTCGTGGGGATGAGATACAAAAATTATGCAATCCAGGGGGATTTTGGCCATACTTCACCACACTCGTTAGTGCGGTTTGGTGCTACAACCCCACTTCACATAAACAACACAAATACAGTACGTACAATGTGTATGAGTCAATTACATTCTTGCCCCTGCAGTGATAATAAAATGGTCGTTGAAATATAATATAATAATGTCCCTCTTTAATACGACAGGGGTTGTAACTCCATGATATTTCTCTTTGAACAGGCACATAGTACACGATGAACGCCTAAACAATTTGTAACAACGTCAAATTTGCAAAATATTTTCCCGTTGACCAGAAGAAATATAAATATTATCATCAGCCACGATCAATCAACTGCTTCAAACTCCTGTGATGCAACAATTCACCCAACCACACTGATAACGACACTTCACAACAGCAACAAATAATAATAATACGACACAATAAGTTCATTGCAGTATGGAAAACAACGTTCCCACTATTCCCTCATGCTGTAATGCTTCACGGTACTTAGTAAACATGCGGTCGAAGAGGTACAAAAACACTCCTTAAGATGAACTTGTCCATTAATTAAGAGATCTGAGACTCAAATCTTGACTTAATGTTTTCGTGACTGCAGGAATTAATATTCTTTGGGTCTTTCGGTAAAGCCACGTAGATATATTGAGAGACGATTGCTTGTGTTGTGATCGAAACGTCGTAGTTTTTATTTATTTATTTTATTTCAACCTATCTACGTGACTTTACCGAAAGACCCAAAGAATAAGACCTGAGACTCATTGATTTTTTTCCGGGTAAGTAACTAACATGATGTTCAATGTTGGATTGCAGTTTGCATTTATAGATGCAAAGTAAAAGTGTCGCTGCTGTAACTCTAGCTCGCCTGAACACTTACAGTGAGGGAAAAAAGTATTTGATCCCCTGCTGATTTTGTACGTTTGCCCATTGACAAAGAAATGATCAGTCTATAATTTCAATGGTCGGTTTATTTGAACAGTGATAAACAGAATAACAACAAAAAAATCCAGAAAAACACATGTCAAAAATGTTATAAATTGATTTGCATTTTAATGAGGGAAATAAGTATTTGACCCCTCTGCAAAACATGACTTAGTACTTGGTGGCAAAACCCTTGTTGGAAATCACAGAGGTCAGACGTTTCTTGTAGTTGGCCACCAGGTTTGCACACATATCAGGAGGGATTTTGTCCCACTCCTCTTTGCAGATCTTTTCCAAGTCATTAAGGTTTCGAGGCTGACGTTTGGCAACTCGAACCTTCAGCTCCCTCCATAGATTGTCTATGGGATTAAGGTCTGGAGACTGGCTAGGCCACTCCAGGACCTTAATGTGCTTCTTCTTGAGCCACTCCTTTGTTGCCTTGGCCGTGTGTTTTGGGTCATTGTCATGCTGGAATACCCATCCACGACCCATTTTCAATGCCCTGGCTGAGGGAAGGAGGTTCTCACCCAAGATTTGACGGTACATGGCCCCGTCCATCGTCCCTTTAATGCGGTGAAGTTGTCCTGTCCCCTTAGCAGAAAAACACCCCCAAAGCATAATGTTTCCACCTCCATGTTTGACGGTGGGGATGGTGTTCATGGGGCCATAGGCAGCATTCCTCCTCCTCCAAACACGGCGAGTTGAGTTGATGCCAAAGAGCTCCATTTTGGTCTCATCTGACCACAACACTTTCACCCAGTTGTCCTCTGAATCATTCAGATGTTCATTGGCAAACTTCAGACGGGCATGTTTACGTGCTTGCTTGAGCAGGGGGACCTTGCGGGCGCTGCAGGATTCCAGTCCTTCACGGTGTAGTGTGTTACCAATTGTTTTCTTGGTGACTATGGTCCCAGCTGCCTTGAGATCATTGACAAGATCCTCCCGTGCAGTTCTGGGCTAATTCCTCACCGTTCTCATGATCATTGCAACTCCACGAGGTGAGATCTTGCATGGAGCCCCAGGCCGAGGGAGATTTACAGTTCTTTTGTGTTTCTTTCATTTGCGAATAATCGCAGAAACTGTTGTCACCTTCTCACCAAGCTGCTTGGCAATGGTCTTGTAGCCCATTCCAGCCTTGTGTAGGTCTACAATATTGTCCCTGACATCCTTGGAGAGCTCTTTGGTCTTGGCCATAGTGGAGAGTTTGGAATCTGATTGATTGATTGCTTCTGTGGACAGGTGTCTTTTATACAGGTAACAAGCTGAGATTAGGAGCACGCTCTTTACCTGTATAAAAGACACCTGGGAGTCAGAAATCTTTCTGATTGAGAGGGGGTCAAATATGTATTTCCCTCATTAAAATGCAAATCAATTTATAACATTTTTGACATGCGTTTTTCTGGATTTTCTTGTTATTCTGTCTCTCACTGTTCAAATAAACCTACTACTTAAATTATAGACTGATCATTTCTTTGTCAGCGGGCAAACATACAAAATCAGCAGGGGATCAAATACATTTTTACCTCATTTTATTCCCATCGGGGGTAAGGTTACAGAGACTTCATTCTTGAACAAAACAATCTTAATTCAAAATCTTTATGAACTTAAAAAAATAATCGGTTACTCACCATATGTGAAGTAACTTTTTATATATCAATGTATCCCATAGGGAGGTGATTACATCATAGGTCAGGAATCGAATGTGTTCATGTAAAGGATAATTTAAAACTAATGACAATCTCCCCACGTATATTTACTACTGCAATGAGCCAAGAATGTCTGTGCGTCCCGCGCGTGACGTCACTCCACGTCGACCAGCCCCCTTCATTAATAATCATGAGCAGGTGACGTCATCCACATGGACCCCCCCCTCATTAATAATCATGCGCAGGTGACGTCACTCGACATCGGACATTAATAATCATGAAGAGGTGACGTCACTCCTCATGGGGGGGGGGCGAGGCGCCTCCTCCCCCCTCGGCGTCAACTGACAACCCTCACTACAAAGGCGTCACGTGATCTCCGTAACGATATTGAGACATAAAGTCACGTAGATTGTTCATAGAAAATAATATAGAAGACATCAAAGTAAAAAGGACGTCGTGATGAACAAGGGATTATATCCTTTAAATGAAATAAGTCTGTGTCACCGCGCCCTTACTAATTGCACACGAATTGATGCAATGAATATATCACGTCACGCTCTGCTGTTCTCTTGCAAGTTTCACTTTTACTGCAATACACCCGTCCTCGGACGGGCAAAAGGCTATAGTTGTTATATAGTATATAAGTATTAAAACAACGACCTGCTCTTTTAACGAACACATAATGGGTCGATAGTACATCACATATGAATATATCACGAGCTTCTTTGTCCACGGTATCTGCAAATATATTGGATTTGTATCCAGCAGAAGCTCCTGACCTCTAGTTTTTACATGTTGAAATTCAAATCACTCGAACGCGTTTAGTTTAAATGAAAAGGAGATTTAGAAAATCTCATTTGGGCACAAAGCCAAACATTTTTTTTTAATTTCCGTTGCATAATGAGCCACGCTGCATCCCCATCATACGACGAAAGACAAAGATCCCCCTTATAGCCTCAACAGACTGTTGGGGCAAGTGCTGTTCGCGAAAACCAATGAAAGCCGGAACGGCACACGAGCGGGGCGTGTGGTGGTGCCGTGTCACCGCAGTGGCGATGTTCACACACCGCACCAGGTACTCATTTTGAGGCTGAGTTGACCTAGGGGAGGCTCAGGACCGCTTCAGATAATTGTCAACGGTGTTGGACGTGAGCGGGAATTGAACTTGGGCCGACGGGTTCGTAGCGCAGCGTGCTAACTGCTACACTACTGCTGCTGCTGCTCACCACACGCCATAAAAATCCCCTCTCACAAACATCACGCCTATCAGCCGAAAATCCCGACAGACTCCATACAATTAGAGATGTTTGACTTAGTGGTAGGCATGCAATATTTCTTCACTGTAAATTTGGCACAATTCACGTTTGTGATTCGTTTGAACAATACATTCCTTTTGGTCTATTTTTTTCATCGAGTTTGTTTTATTGTTTCAAAGTTGTGTTGTGCAATTTGTACCGCATTGTTCCATGGATGAGCGTAATATATATTTAAAAATGAATTCAGTGATTCCACATCGGCAGTGGTGCACAAAGCACAACCAATAAAAACTAAATGAAGGGATGGAGGTAGGGATCGATAGTGAGGTGAGTGTAGGGATGTTGATATGAATGTGATGGAGGGAGATAGCTAGACTTTAAAAATAAAACTTTTATTGCCTACATCAGCAAAAGCACTGGAGGCGATTTCGATATGAAACACACAAAGTCACCAGCAAACAAGTGAAAATAAACGTTACAAATCCACGCGCTGTGGCGCTAAAAAGCACCGCGCACAACACGAAATAAACGCCACGTGGTGGTGGTTGTGGTGGTCATCGCGCACGCCACGTTCACGAGCGAGTGCTTCAGAAAGTGAACACGAGGAGGGTGCCGGCCACGCGGGTACAGAGAGGGGCTTATCCGGCCCCCCAGCGTTCGAAGAAGACGTGCAGATAGCTAGAGAGAGAGAGAGGTTAAGGAAGGGATAGATGGAAGGAGGAATGAATAGAGGCAAAGGTATGGAGTTATGTAAATGAAGGAAGATAAAGGGAGCTCGAGGTTTAAAGGGCAGATAAATAGAGAGGCAGAGCGATGGTGAGCTGGAGAGATAGCGAGATGAAGGGAGAGAGCAGAGATGTGAAGGGATGGGATGATTGAGGGAGCGACCGGGATTAGAAGATTAAGGAGAGAGAATAATTTGATTGAAAGGCAATGGCGTTATGTATTTATGTATGTTGAACTTCTTTCGCACCGTACGTATCCAATCGTAATAATCGGTGGTGCGGGGGAAGGACTGCAAACCAAACACAAACATCTTTTCCAAATAAATTAGTTCTAAATCTAGACTTAAAAGTACATAACTCCAGTGGCTTCCTAATATCGGAAGGAAGAGCGTTCCAGACGGCCGCAAAAGCGCATCTGAAAGCGCGCGACGCAGTGGCCGCTTTTGTTCGATGGTTATCGAAAAGCCGCTGCTGGGAGGGGAAGTGAACGAGAGTTCTGAATGCAGGGCGATGTGAAGGGAGGGAAGGAGGGATTGAGAGACGGCGGGATGAGGAAGGCAAAGGGGATGGAGGGAATTGAGGCATCGATGGCGAGTTAAGAGAAGTGAAGGGAGGGAGAGCTGGTGGAGTTGGGAGGAGGGAGGGAGGGAGGTAGAGAGAGAGAGCGAGGGGAGGGCACAGCAGGCTGCACTGCCCCCCCCCCGCTCTCCCTCCCTGTGGCTCCCGGGTGCCCCGGGTGACGACGCTCTCCGCTTCCCCCGTCCGCGATGAGACCGCCACTCGAACAACGCAGTCCGTGCTCCCGCAGCGCCGAGCTGCGCGCTCTCGACAAATACGAACCTACGACCACCGTTCCAGCAGCCTGTGGGCATTGATTCATCGATGTTCATGTCTATGTATCTTAGCTGTACGTGAACTACTGAGGGTGCATTCGGTTTAGCAGGGCTTACGAACGGACTGTAGAGTCAGGCGCTGGCTGTCCGGTGGGGTTTCTATAGCTTCTTGTTGTGTGGGCGCGGTAGATAGAACACATTACGCAGCGCCGAATATATATAGGGGCTGTGTGTTCCAGGTAGCGTTGGGGCGGCTTGGTTCTCTGTGCCGTGTGTCCGAATGGGCAGCGGAGTCTCGAGGGTTGTTGGGCCCCTTCGCCGTTGCGTTCCGTAGCCGTGGGACCATCGCAGGGACCTGCGCATTGGCCACGTGAAATGCGTCAAATCCGCGGGCGGTCAAACGCGCATCGCGGGGCTCTGGTGATGACAATTGGCGAGCAGGGTTAGCCTCGAGTTCTATGTTGGCACGGCTTCCGTGCTCTTTTTAAACCCCGAGCCAGGAGGGCAGAGTCGACTATACAAATTGCGCGTTGCGCCATTGTCTTGACGAAGAACTCCGAAAAACACAAAGCTGTCGTGCACAGACAGGCGGGCGCGTGTGTGCACTCACGCGTGTATAGGCCAAGTAGTTTTGTTTCACGCGCATACAGTTAGGTGTATACGTATATATCCATCATATCACTGTGTTTGGGATACAGAGACCTTCACTCATCGCTGCTTCAGTTAGCCAAGGGGACCCACCCTTGGCTGCTAGTTGGTCGCCAGAGAAGGGGCATCATCAGCATCATCATCATCATCGGCCACAGCTGCGAGCTGTGAACCCATCTCATGGTCCTGGATTTGTGAAGAAGCAGAGAGAAGATGAAGGACAACGGAGAATCCAAGGATCATCAGCTGACGGTGCGTGTTTGCTTGTGCTCTTGTTCATCATGATAAGCCATTAACTATATCTACCGCTGGATGTCACAATCTCTAACGGGCTTGCGATGTCACAGTCCGTATACTGTGCATGAGCTTGTCACCGTCGTTCCATTGTGGTGGAGGGGATGTTTTACTTGGGCTGTCATTCAATCACCTGTCTCATCCATCGACCATCATTGCAGCGATGTGTCCTGCCCAAGCCAACTTACTTTGCTTCATGAACGAATTATGTTTTCGATCTTGCTTTTTGTTCACCTCTTTTATCCATCACTTTAATCCATATCCACCTTCCATAATCGTTCTACGTAGTCACATACTGATGCGTTTTCCAGTTGCCTCACTCTCAATATGTTGCTTTGTTTACCAAACGTGTTACACGACTTTTGCATAACTCACATGTATCTTGAGCCCAGCTTCGGAGAATTGTTCACGTCCAGTAAAGGCAAACCTAACAATGTTACGGGTATGCTCCGAGCCTTGTGGATGGCTTAAGCCAATCATCACCTGCAAAATTCGGCAGTACTTTGCAGGTGATGTGATCCAGGAGGCGGAAACAAGTCCAGAGTTTGCCTGCTTAAATAAATCATGATATTAAGCACTGGCCAGGAATGATGGGCTGACATTTTAGTTTTCATTATTATTTGATGGATAGACCCAGATTACTTTATGTTTTGTGAACGTATAACATGAGGTGGAGGGCTACAAATGAACGAGTTATTGTGATGGCTTAATAGCCTGGTGATTATTACATTTGCTACCGGACAATTCAATTGCTACTCGGTTCAGTCAAAGTGCCTCCCTGCTCAATGAGCATTGAGCAGGGAGGCACTTGAGCATTGAGCAGTGCTAATTGCTGTCGGAGGTTCTGAAGCAGCAGTGCAATTCCACAATCATATGATGGGGGGGGGGGGGGGGCACCGTTGACCTCTCAAGAAGTCAGTAATTTTATTGACACTGAATAAATTGTGGACTAGCTCACAACACCCATTTCAAACCTTTTAAAACAGTCTGCCTCAGCAGCAGACCATGCTTTGCCACCTGATGATGGGCGCTTGTGTTGCGCCCGAAACGTCGTGATTTATTTTATTTTATACCTACGTGACTTTACCGAAAGAACCAAAGAGTATAGGTCACAACAGTTACATTTCTGCGTGGAACGTTGTGCCACAGTGCCACATGAGCAGATCATATTCGACAAAATAGTTCAATGTCCATCCACTGCCATAGGAAGAACCTCCCTACGACTTGTTTGACCATATTTCACCACGCTGGGCAGTGTGGGTTTGTGACTGGTTCTGATATCACTCACCACTGATGTTATCCGTCGGTGAGAATAAAACTCAGGTCGCCGGGTTCATGGCACGTGCAAATCACTGTGTCGCCGCTCCACAGCAGTAGGTTATATCCTGTAATAATGTAAATACAGTATATATACACACACATTCAGTCTATGCACACCACTCCTCCCCATATATATTGGTTCATAAATACTGAACATGTATAATATAATGAAACACCACCGTGCCACCCCAGGTTATGTATCCCGTGTAGACCATTTCAAAATTGTGGCCCATTCTGCAGTGAATGTGTGCACGCATGGTTGACTCTTTTGGTCTCCTCTCCACCCTCTCCACCTTGTGGAATCCCACTTCCTGATGCCTTGCCCAAGCATGATACATGTGACTTGTATTTTTTGTATCATTATTTAATTATATTCAGTGACTTGCTTACATGTTTTCTCTTTTTTTTTGCACTGTTTTTGTATTGTTCGCTGTTGCAACTCGCTGATCCGCCCCATACTGGGACATCTGTGAAAAAAAAGCCTCATAGCTCATCGGATTCCTCTTTCATTCTAAATAAAGGTTCTGATTCTGAAACGCTCCCACCCACCATGCCCCCCCCCCATCACCCCCCTCACATCACCCCCACCTCGTGACTCGTGAGCAGGTGGCTCTACGCATCCGGCCCATCAACGATGCCGAGCTGGAGGAAGGGGCCTCGGTCACGGCCCACCGGGTGGACGAGCAGGTGAGGCGGCGAAGTTAAAGGGCAGGGGGGGTCTTTAACGTCCTCGCGTAGCCATGTCGGCAGCTCCGCGCGAACTGGCTCGGTGCTGACCGCTCAGCTGTCAGGCTGGCGATGCGTCGTACGTACGTACGTACATTGAACCTGAACGCAACAACAGGCAGTTCTAAAGAAATGAGTTTTCAATCTCGATGCAAAAGTGCGTTGGTTGTGTGCACTTGCACAAGAACACGTTCACACACACACTCACACTATGTTGCTGCCCGTGGCAAAGTGTGTTGATATGATTAATCACTCCAAATAAGTCGAGCGGCATTTTATTTTCATGAACTGCGTAATGCGCTGTGCATGCTACCTGCGCTATCACCCCATAGAAGCTTTTGGTATTCCCGGCCACAGTTATGGCCTCCAATTAGCACGGTTCGCTCCGTACGGTGCGAAATAAGTACAAAATGCATAATTCTCTATGCTTACAAAATGTGCGGAACATCGGTGCCCGTTTGATTCATGCTGGCCTGCCTACGATCCATTTTGGGTTTAACCAGGCTGGAATGTGTTCGGAGCTCACAGATCCTTGACAGATCTGGACGCAGGCGAGGCTGCTTTGGCTGGGTGATATAACCTGCATGTCCAGCCTACACATGCACAAACCGTTTCGTTTTGGCCGGATAGAGGGGCTAAATGAGCATGGCACAGGCTGGCGAAGAGATGGGCTGAAAATGTGGAGCTGAGTGGACATGCCGAAGACTTGTTCCGGTGGTGTCAAGATTGGCTTACGTGGAGGAGGCTCATGAAGGACGCTACTGGGCAGTTGGAGGCAGTCGCCCTCCAGCAACAACGGAGGGCGGAGGAGCGTCGCTCAAAACGAGTAGAGCGCTGGGAGGCTAAATCACAGAAAGTTGGCACAGTCGGGAGCACAGGTGGGGCATCTCCCAATCATCTAAGTCAGTCAACATATAACGCCTGGGTCTGTCCCGTGACCTCCTGTTAGCGATCCTTTGACACATCATGTGATCTGAAAGTGCACCTAGCTTGACACGTGCACAAGCGCTATGATGACGTCACCACCACTCAGTAGAAAATGGAGGCTGCTATTGAACGTGTGTGTGTTTTCGGTCTCCAATTTTTTTTTGCTTTTGTCATTTCGTGGCCCAGTTGACTGTTGCCATTGGGACTCTATCCTGGTCTCTAGAGTTCTCAGCTGGTTAAACAAAATAATATTGAAGTTGAACATATCTCATAGGCATTAGAAATGCATCGAGTCATCAATTATATTTCGATTTAAAGCTTTCGTGACTGCAATGATTCATCTTCTTTGGTTCTTTCGGTAAAGTCACGTAGAATGAGAATAAAATAATAAATTGATAAAATAAAATAACACAATAATATTATTGTGTTATTTTAAAATAACTTTACCGAAAGAACCAAAGAAGATCATCAATTATAATTGATCATTGTGTAGTGGAGTACGAAGGTGCGTTGTGGAAACAGCGTGATTACTTGATAACAAATACAGTACAGGTTATGTGAGGGCAATTAGGTTGGAAGAGCCAAGGACGGCTGTGATTGGTTGGTGCTGTTGCCGGGCCTGGAGAGGCGCCTTGAAGTCTGGCGAGAAACAGGTGTACGGATCACGCGGGGTGCCGTTGGGACGCGGGTTATTAATTGGGGTGTGATGAGAGCATGGATAAATTGGGGGGTCGGCAATTGGAGCGGGGGGGGGTTGGAGTTTGGAGAGCTTGGAGTCAACAGGGGGAATTAAAGTGTGGAGAGTTTGAGAGACAGAGTTTGAGAGACAGAGTTTGAGAGACAGAGTTTGAGAGACAGAGTTTGGAAGACAGAGTTTGAGAGACAGAGTTTGAGAGACAGAGTTTGAGAGACAGAGTTTGAGAGACAGAGTTTGAGAGACAGAGTTTGAGAGACAGAGTTTGAGAGACAGAGTTTGGAAGACAGAGTTTGAGAGACAGTTTGAGAGACAGAGTTTGGAAGACAGAGTGCAAGGGAGACTGAGTTGGAGACGGAGCGGTGGAGAGAGCGTAGCGATAGCGAAGCTGAACAAAGACAAAGTAGTTAGCAGTGGAGTGAGTGTAGCGATAGCAGAGCTGGAGACGAGAATAGCCAGCAGTGGAGAGAGCGTAGCGATAGCGGAGCTGAAGACGAGAACAGCCAGCAGTGGAGTGAGCACAATGACGGTGATAGCGGTGAACAGAGATGAAGCAGTTAGCAGTGTAGTGAGCATAGTGACGGTGATAGCAGTGAACAAAGATGAAGAAGTTAGCAGTGGAGAGAACATAGCGACGGTGATAGCGGAGAGCGGAGACGAAGAAGTTAGCGGCGGAGTAAGCGAAGTAATCGTGGGGAGTGGAGAGACAAAGGTGGCGAGCGAGTCGAGTGGAGCAAGGCGAGCGAGCCGTGGCGACCAGGACACTGTGGAATGTGGAGGACATGCTGAGAGTTGTAAATAAAGCGGTGTTCGGAGAAAGACAGAAGTTGTCCGAGTGAAATCGAACACTACAATTGTATTGAAGGTAAACTTGCATTAATTCATGCGTATGCGAATTGAGTATATATATTTTTAGTTTTGTTTACATTCGTGATTAATTCATGCGACACCTGCAGCCTCTGGGGGCACGACAATGCACCAAGATGTCAAGTACAATTGTGTCCACGAATTGTCACGGGTCGTGGAGTCGCTCTGGGTGACCAATAATTCGCGACGCAGTTCGACGTGCTTTTAATACAAGCTCGGGCTTTAACTTCCCCTTTGCCAATGAAGTGGGCACTCATCCTATAGCCTGAATGTCAGCGGGGTGCACGCGCGTCCACGTCGACCCAGCGAGCAGTGACCAGTCAGGCGTGCGCCCGATTGGCATCCTGTGCCGGCGTGCCCTCTTGCCACGCTTCTCCACGGCCTGCGAACGGTACGAGAGGCCGCCCTTCCACCCGCTCGCGAGGGTTTTGTGAAATATTGAGGCGGCAAAATTGCACCGGCGGAGAGCTAAGCCGACTGGGAAATGAAACCGCGAGCGAATAGGTCATGAGGACTTTGTTGTTTTCCCCATAGCACAGCAGTTGTGTGTTTAAGACAGGCCATTAGATAACGTCAAAGTACCAAGAGACTGGCACTCAACAATGCATTATCTGCTCATGTTGTGTATTGTATAATTTATTAAATAGCTATGAACCTTGGCGTCCATACGTACACTATTTAAGGTTGCAATATAATAAAGTTAGCCCAATGTTTTGAAATACAGCCAAGGGATACGTTGGCTGAGTTGCGTCGCCATAATCCACAGTGCGGGGTGTCATCGTCAAGTTTGCCTCATCGAAGGTGTCATTTTTCACACCCTTCTTTTTTTAATCCTCGGCTGTGCAGAAGCCTTCTTATAGATTGCTTTGTTTGGTCCAGAAATAAGGGACGGATTGATTAATCTCTTGCACCTCCCCCCCCCCCCCCGTGATAATTACTACATCGTGAACAAGCAAATATTCCATTATTACACAATACTCCATGTTCAAGCACATGTGTGTATGATACTCCATGTTCAAGCACATGTGTGTATGATACTCCATGTTCAAGCACATGTGTGTATGATACATGTTCAAGCACGTGTGTATGATACTCACATGTTCAAGCACATGTGTGTATGATACACACATGTTTAAGCACATGTTGGTCAGTGTGGGTTCACGAATAGTTGGGGGGGGGGGTGCCCAGGACCAGTTCAGGTATCGCTTGCCACTCACTCACGTCAGCCATAATTTGAGATAAAACTCGGGTTACCATATTGATAGCAGGGTGTGCCCTACCAAGTGCGCGACCATTTCACTCTCTCCTTTAACAAATTGCATCCTGAGCTGTATAAATAGACACCTGGGATTTAACTTGAGGGAAATGTTTGATATAGAAGCAGGATTTACACTTTGGGGATTGTTTGACTTCATGATGTCCGACAAGTAATAATTTGTTACAGAAATCCCTGCGCACTTCCTGGGCTTTTGGCAGTAAATTTCGTGTCATGCTTTGTTAGTGAGTGGTGCTTTTGTTTGTCATCACAATGAAATCTCTACACAAAAGTATAGTTTTACATTAATTGTCACGATCGTGTCGAGTATTGAACACAGCATCCCACATATATGTGGGTGCGTATTACTGAAAGCTTGACCGTATACGTTTTGGCTGATATAATTGTTTTTGGGATTAAGTCACTATAAAAACTCCTGAGTACGCCATGATTTAATTACTGTAGCCCATTGATAACCCGGTATAAATGATCATTGGGTCACCTATTTTATGGTGAAGATAAGGTCTGTATTAAAAAGTGGTAAGTTTGTGGATTTGATTATCCCTAAAAAAAGCTCATTTAAATTTAACTGGTCCTCGCTCATCGTGAAGACCGCAATAATTGCCTTCAATCAGTCCACCTCGTAACAACTCATCAATTCCCTTCAGCTACAGTGAGGGAAAAAAGTATTTGATCCCCTGCTGATTTTGTACGTTTGCCCACTGACAAAGAAATGATCAGTCTATAATTTTAATGGTAGGTTTATTTGAACAGTGAGAGACAGAATAACAACAAAAAAATCCAGAAAAACGCATGTCAAAAATGGTATAAATTGATTTTCATTTTAATGAGGGAAATACGTATTTGACCCCCTCTCAATCAGAAAGATTTCTGGCTCCCAGGTGTCTTTTATACAGGTAACGAGCTGAGATTAGGAGCACACTCTTAAAGGGAGTGCTCCTAATCTCAGCTTGTTACCTGTATAAAAGACACCTGTCCACAGAAGCAATCAATCAATCAGATTCCAAACTCTCCACCATGGCCAAGACCAAACAGCTCTCCAAGGATGTCAGGGACAAGATTGTAGACCGACACAAGGCTGGAATGGGCTACAAGACCATTGCCAAGCAGCTTGGTGAGAAGGTGACAACAGTTGGTGCGATTATTCGCAAATGGAAGAAACACAAACGAACTATCAATCTCCCTTGGCCTGGGGCT